CCTCCCAGCCACCTGCTTCTAGGCTGGAGCAGTTGCCAGGACTTGCATGGTCGCCGGCAGCGGGGAGCGAGTCAGTGGGCATTGGGGACCATGCCAGCAGTCCTGTGCCATGGAGGCTTGAGGCGCGGGATGCAGAGTGGTGCGGTGCCATGGGAAGCGGCAGGATAGGGGGGAGGGGTTACCTGCATCCTGCCAGCTGAATTCTGGAAGCCTGCCTGAATGAAGAATTTTAGGGGGTGTTGAAAGGGAGACAGACTGAGGGCAATATTAAGATCGTAGATGGCTGCGTAAGAAGAGTGAAAGGGAGGCAAATTTGGGGTGGAGCAGAAAACACGGGGGGAAGGCATTAGGAAATAAGCACCAAGGTACATGGTACCTTGCAAGGGATTCCCGAGTATTCCGCAATTGTTTTTCCTCTCTCCTCTGTGCAAGAAAAACTTTTGCAGTGTAAATCTGAAACCAGGTGTTCCTGCAAGGTAGCACAGGAGGTCCTTGGGAAAGACGAGAACAAGCTTGGCGGTTCTTCTCTCCCAATCCCCTTCACCCCCTTCCCCGGCCTGCCTGCGATCTTAGATCACGGCTCCATGGCTTTTCTTTGCTTAGCCCAGCCAAGCTTTCTTCCACCCACCCTGTTCCCGGGAGCGCCAAGGAGGTATGGCAGAAACACATGAATTGGGATTGTGCTGCCCTTGGGAAGCTGATCATGCTTTGAACCTTAGGAGAGGAGGAGGAGTCCCTTCCTTCTTCCCTCCCTCTCTCCCTATCAAGCCCCCACGGGTTCGACATGAACGGGCAGGGGAGGGGCCGAGGACAACATGCGGGGCAGCAAAGAAGACGAGCGACCGGTGCTGTTCTACCTGGCAGCGTGGGTGTCAGCTCCGTGGGCGTTCCGACCAACAGCTGAGCGGCTCCAACTTCTGGCCGCCGAACAGCTGAGTCCTCCGGGAGGCAACGTGAGGCTTGAGGGGTATTGCAAGTTCGCAGGAGGTAGGAAGGAAAAGATAGAAGAGAGTGAGGCTGCAACAGAGAGAGCGATGTCTCGGTTCCTAAGACCATCGGAAATATATGTTTTCCGATGGTCTTAGGCGACCCCTGTGAAAGGGTCGCGACCCACAGGTTGAGAACCGCTGATCTAAAGGCAAGTTGAAACACAGAGGCACATAGCTGCCAAAGTTTCATACTTGACTGTTCTGGCCTGATTTCACGTAAACTCTAAAGTCTTTCTGCTGCTTATTTCTGTCCAGTTTTAATCTCAGTAAAACATGAAAATGACTCAATGAAGAGAGTTGTATTGATGGTTTAGATAAGTTCCAACAATTGTTATGTCATTTATTATCATTTCTTCGTTTAATTATATTCAATTATTTAGATATTTTCAGGATAACAAGTTCTCATAGCACAACTTAGAAATAAATGAGAAATAAATGAAACAAATAATAATAAATATATAATGACCAAAAAACATTCTAGGATCACTTTCACAGGACAATACAGAGGAGCAGAAAAGAAGATTCTAGTACCTTCTCCTCTCTTTTCAGGGATACAGAAAATAGGTGGTAATAGCCAGGGTAGTAAAAATAGCTGCAGTTAGGAGTAACAATCAATGTTATTACCTCAAGGTTGCAAAACAAACTCCTTTCACTTCAGTTCCATTACTTTTGAAACACAGTGTCACATATCTTTACAATAAATGTATGTATCACTTTAGTTTTTTGGGTTACATTATATTATTTGCTTGCATTATCTTTTCTTTTATTCTGCTAATTATGTGCCAACAGGTCATTTTTGACTCCTAGAGACCAACACAAGATTTTCCCAGCAAGATCTGTCTAATCTTTTCTTTCAAATTGCTCAACCTTTTAGACATCAAGTGCCCAAAAACCGGCCCACCCCGCCTGCCCTGCCCCCACCCCTGCTCACCTCCAGAGCCACCTACCACCTCCACGGCCTGCCACAGATCATCCAGGCGGCCCTGCAATGCAATGGCAGCCACACCCTTCACCCATGTCCCGCAGCATCATCTGCGCGTGACAGGGCACAAGGGTGGAGTCTTGTCCCTGCTGCCTGGCTGCCATGTCCTTGGCTGCGCTGCTCCATGAGGGTCGGACCCAGGGGCAACTCTCCTCCCAGGGGGGCTGTTGGTGATGAGAGGCCTGCGGGGGCAGGCTGAGCTGAGGCAACGGCACGCGTGCCCACAAAGAGGGCTTTGAGTGCCACTTCTGGCACACGTGCCATAGGTTCGCCACCACTGGTTTAGGTAAATCATAGTTAGTTGAGGAGGCATATGTTTGGCTATATTCCCAGGATTTGGAATCTAATCATTATCAAGAATTGTGGATTTTTCATGCATGGGGAACACTTAAAGTATTATTTTGCATACCTCTATAATTGATTTGCAACAACTGGTATTTTGTGATGCCTATAAACATCTAAATTAATATTGCTTTTAAACAAAGGAATAGTGAAGACTTTTCAGCAATTGGGTTTAAATTTTTTGAATATTTTGTAGCCTCTTTTTTTCTTTCTTTTGCTGGCTAAGTGTCAATGTCATATTATTTTTATGTATGCATATTTTTTTTAAAAAAATCAAATTAATGTAATAATAACTTGTTACTGAAAATCAGCAGTTTTGCTGCTGAATTTCACTATAAATTTCATAAAGGTTTCTAGGACTGGGTGCTTTATAAAGACCACAGGCCACAAACCCTCATATATTTAAAAAAATCAAAAAAAGAAGCAAAAATAATTTAGGGACCTTATAAGGAATAGGGTTAGATCTGGCCAGATATAAGTCTCCAATTTCTCTATCACATCCAATAGAATTTGACCTTCTAATGAGTAGGGATATATTTCAGTGTCTCATAGATATTATATAATGAGCATAATGCTTTCACATTTTGAAAAGCAATTGCAGAAAAAGATTTGTATATTTCTAAAGCTTACAATGGAAAATATTTATTAAATGTTATGTTCTACTTAATACAGAGATATCCTTTAATAACAGGATCAGAAAATATCCCTAAAGTAAGCTTAGCAACATGAAATCAATCACATAAAATTATTAAAAATTCCTGTGTGCAAAATTGGCCAAAATCTCACAAGATTTCAGGCATTTTTTTTTTTATGAAGGTGAGGGTTTATTCATACTAAAAGCTTGTAATGGCTGCCAATAGGAACATGTTTGCTACATCACAAAGAAATCAGTTTACAAACATATTTTAATTATCAAATAGATATGTGTTTAATAATTATACAGTTAGCATGATTTAAAAGTATTTGCTTAATTTCCTGGGATTCTATATCTTTCCGCATAAACAGAGTTCATTTTATTAACAAGTGTTTAACTTGTTACCGTGCAGGTCTTTAACTGTATTTACTTACATTATCTGCTACAATCTGAAGATTTTAGAGTCTAAGCTATTTAGAGATCTGTCTAGTAAAAAAATGCCTTCCAATTCCACATGCACTGGCTCAGCATTAAGTTTAAAATATGAATGTTTGGAAAAACTAAATGTTGTAGCAGTAATTCAAATATATTAAGATTTAATATGACAAATCCATGCGATGACATAAAATCTACAAAACACGATAGAAGAATCAATAGGGTAACTTTTAAATGTGTAGATATTTGAAATGAAAATGTAGATAGTGTTAGATGGAAAGTTAATCATGTTTATTAACATTAAGCATAAAAGGCATATATAGAATTTTCAGTACCTAAAATCAGATACACAAATCATGTGATATACCAAAAAATACTTATGCATATGAAGAGTAATAGAGTAATAGAAATAAATTCCAAAATGATATAACAACTTAATAAACTTATAATACAAATAAGAATCAATATTCTACTCCATCACAGATCCCCAAGTCTTCCCTCCACAACTCCCTTGTTTCTACTATAAGCCAAATATTTAAGAAAAAAGACTATGTACATTTTTGTTATCTAATAATAAAGTTACACATACAAAATCTATCTTGTACAGATGTCTCAGAAAATCACTGCATTTTTCTTTTGGCAACCCAAAAAGAGCCAAAGCCAATGAAACTAAGGGAAAAGAAAATGAATCCTATACATAACACAAATAAAACTACTGTACCAAGAAATCTCCCACAACTGGAAGTGTCTTACAATAGGGCATTTACCCTCAGTTCATGAAACAGTGAATATGGTACATGCTAGTATATCTCTAAATGTTTATTAGTGTAGATTTCTAACGATTCTTCCATTAGAAGAAATTAACAGCATAAATAGTTTTTCGAATATGCCATTAAACTTAAGTACTTGACTTGAACATATAAAGCCATCTTGGGATTTCCTGGCTCACACCTATATTAAACACAGGATGCAGCGCATAAACAATGGGAAGTTGCCATCAATCATGGTTTCCCTTCCAAAAGGCGGAGTTTTAAATTGGATCTAAGCATCTCATCTCTCAAATCCCATTAAGTTTTCAGTCTAAGAGCGCAACTGTGCTGAGGAACAGAAAGCTTCTACCTTCAATAAAGGATTTGCCTCCACAGCCTTGAAAGGGTCGGAATCACAGGACTATTGTTTGCTTTTCCTACTAACCCTACTCATGGGATGCAATCTTTGCCTGTTGGCCGCAAACAGAATAAGCCAATTCCGCCTCTCTGCATACTCGGCTTACTTTGACAAAGCAGACGTCTAACTCTTAAACGCTTGTGGACATAATACGGGGCTTCCACGGAACCAAGATCCCAGTTGTTACGGCTGAGCTCCAAGACTTATCTCCCATCCCGGGACTTCTCTGTCTTAACAAGATGTTAGAATGATGCCTTATCTCCCCCTTCAGAGACAGGAGGAAGGCTTGTGCGGAAGGAATATTGCTCTTTTGGCCAACTAATTCCACTCCCGGCACAGAATTATTTATTCCTTTGGGTGGCAACCACCGAGCAGAATCAAGCCCGCAAAACACTCTTCTCCGTCCCCACTCGCCCTCTTCAGGGACCGCCAAGCGCGTCTTTTCTCTTACCCGGATTACAGTGCAACGGCGAAGGCGGCGTGGAGACTGGTGAAGAAGGTGCCGAGGACGGCTGAAGCAGCGGTGGCGGCGGCGGCAGCGGCGGATCTTTGGGGCCGCCGCCGCCGCCCGGCGAAGGGGCCGAGGGAGGTGGTAGCATGAGGTAGCGATGAGGAGAGGGCAGGCAACGCAGACACAGCGAGTGAAGGCAAGGAAGTAGCTTAGGCCGCCGACTCTGAATATGTTGCCCACACACCCCACAAGTGTCCAAGAGGTTGAGCCGCGACTCTCCGTTGGCTCGGTCCGCAGGGCCTTGCCGGCTTTCAGCCTCGTTCTCCCCACCCATGGCGACCGGACCAGGCAGGCAGGGCCCAGCTATCATAGGGGACTCGTCCATTGTTTATAGGAGAAGCAAAAGCTGTCAGTGGCAAAAGCTGCCAGTGGCAACCACACCAGGCGCTAAGCCCCCTCAGGGCAACTGCCGCCCTCCCCCGGGCGTTCGGTGGAGCCCCGCCTCCTCAGCGGTCACTCCGTTGCCACCTCTAACCGCTCTCGAAGGAACTTCGGAAGAGAGCGCTCACGCTCGCAGCAAAGCCGCCAACGGCCTCCCGGGCCCCGCCCCCTTGGCGAGCCTTTCAGTGTCAGAGGCGCAACCCGCTCCTCCAGTGCCACACTCCCTCCCTGTTCATCATCCAAGGCAAACTCCTCCCCTTTTATCCTCCGGGTTCCAGTGCCTCTGAGCGTTTTTCGTTTTTAGGCGCGTTTTCTCGTATCTACATTCTCATTTCAGGAGAGCGTAATTCTTTCGTTTCATTCAGCTCAGCCACGCTCCCTGCCGTATTTTCTTAGTTATTACCTGCCCTCTGAATATCTCCTAGTTTCCTGTTTGGTCGGTTTGGGTACCGCCCTTTCATTTGTCCCGCCCTCGAGTTTTTCTTTTCGCCCCATAAGCATTTTTTTTCTTTTACACTTAGTGTAAAATGTAATGAAATGGTGAACCAACTCTCCAATTTCCTAAAACACTACTTTGTATTAAGCTTGATTTAGTGATTTTCCATTATTGCTGAGAAAGGAAACGTTGGCATTGGTATCACTGGTGATAATTTTTAAACTAAATAAAACGATTAAAATCTTCTGCATTATCAGAAAAAATAACACAGATCGTTTGCCGAAACAGTATGCACAAACTAAACTAACCACATTTTAGCATAACTTTTTATGACAATGCAGTCCATACGGTTAGTTTATGATCTAGTGCAGGGGTAGGCAACCTTGGCTCTTTTATGACTCGTGGACTTCAACTCCCAGAATTCCTGAGCCAGCATGGCTTAGCTTGGAAACCTCTCCTTTCCCCCTCAGCGTGGCTGGCTCAGGAATTCTGGGAGTTGAAGTCCATGAGTCATAAAAGAGCCAAGGTTGCCTACTCCTGACTAGTATGCCCTCTAAATCCAGAATATGCTAGGGAATAAACCATGGTTTATCTGGCTTACTAATGCTGGGAAAAATGGAAGGAAATAGAAGAGGATGACCAGCAGCAAAGTGAATGGTGGCAATAAATGCACTATTGGAAGACCTGGAACACCATACTAGGAGCTGATTGTCCCGGGGAAAAAAATCTACCTATGTGATCTCTAAGAATAGACATGACTTAATTGCACTCAAGCAAACTATGGTTATCGTTCTGTTTTGCCCAGATTATCTGAGCTGCTACTCCAGAAGGAATTGGTCTAGGAGTAGCCTGTACTTTATGTATATTTATTTATTTTTTTCTCTTGGGCTGCCGTAACATTGGGATTTCAAGAAATTCTGCACAGAATTATATATTTTAAATTGAATTCTGCTCAAATGCTGTTCTAACTTAAGAGGAAATCCATTTAAATACAATCAAATATCACAGAATATTGTTATGATTGGATTCCATTTAAATTAACATGAATCATGACTAACAAGACTAAATTATTTGATTTCAAAAGAATTTTTCCAACAGTCTGATTCTAATCCCTTAAACCATTTGCTTTTCTATCCCTTTCCCTTTTTTAAAAGTTATCACCATTATAACTTTGCAATTTGAAAATCTCAAAAGAAGAGGTAACTTAAGAGAAAAGTCATGTTGAAAGAAAAATCAGGTCCAGTTCCAAGCCGGGAGTAAAATGCTGGAAATAAAATGGAGGCTAAGATGCTGGAAATAAAATGGAGGCTGCTTAAGAAAGAAGGTTCTTGTTTATTGATGAGCAGGACCAGCAACAGCAACAGCCCTTTTAGTATTCCAAAGATGCTTTTTTCATGAGGCAACTGGACTTTCTTGTTTTTTCTTTGCAGATGTTTCACTTCTCATCCAAGAAACTTCTTCAGCTCTGACTGGATGGTGGGGAATGAAAAGATTTATACTCCTTGCAGACAACTGTTCATTTGCATTCTTTTAGAGAGTCATTAATGCTACTTGGAGGATTATCTGTGTCCTCAGGGTCTCCTGAGTGGTGCAAATGTGTGTGGAGACTTCTTGGAACTGTTGAAAGGACTGAATTGTAGATTGAACATAGATTATGTCGTATCCCTCCCCCTCTGTTGAGAGAGGGCTATTCAGTTTTGACATAGATGGCCTCTTGGACCCCTCTTTCAAAGAAAAACACAAGGAAGTCCAGTTGTTTCATGGAAAAACGCATATTTGGGATAACTGGATGACCGAGAATTTTCATAGACCCTTTTGGTATTCTAATTATTGTTGCCTGACTCCCATTGTGGCTGGGAGACCATGTCCTGTCCTTGGAGCTGGAAGAGGGATGTAGATTTTTGGAGTCTTTGTTTTTCTAATCCCACCAGCTCAAGCCTTCTGTTAGGGGTTGTGGCTGATGGTGTTTTGCTTATGAATAGGTGGCTCAGTCTTTCTGAATGGATTACCACAATCTGCATTCCTAAAGGCCAGCCTCTTCAGGTTTCTTAGCTTGAAGCTGTTTCCCTATGGCAGGGAAACTGGGGCTGCTTTCTGCCAATTTTTTTTCTCCATTTCTCCTTTAGGGGAAATATTCTATCCTGCCTTTTTTTAATATTCCCCAAAATATATCATTCTGGAGGGAGGGGGGTGCTGACGTCCTACAGTCAAAAATTATTTTAAGACTTAAGGGGTAGTAATTTGTAGCCCATTTCCAGGTACATAGAAATCATAAAATCAGGCAAACTTTCAGTGTTATGGAATCAATTATCTTCCTTAGTTAATTAAGAATCATCACAAAATAAAGTCTTCAAAAAAAATCTAATTCCTAACCTACATGTAGGACCGGCATATATTAATGATCTTGTTTGGATTTGTGAATATACCAGTTGTTACAAGTATAATTATTAGGTTTCTGCTATAGCTTTGCTGCGGTCTCCTATTAGTATGTCATCAGCAGTGGGGAAAACATCTATCTGGAGCAGATCTGGGATAGATCTGACTAGATTCCACCTCTTCATTTTTAGGCTAGCTTGGAAACCTCTCCTTCTGTCTGCCACACCAAAATGTGGGCAGAGGGCTTTGAAAGCAATAAACACACAAGTGAGGTTAAAAACAAAAGTGTTTATTAAGCAAAACAGAGTAACATAATAACTTGAACTGAAAAACATCATCTAAACATACCATACATATCTGTAGCCAAGGGAATAAAATAAGGACTGGTAACCTTCAATACAGGAGTGAAAATACATGACAAAAATCTCACATCCCTTTAATATCCAGAAGGACTTCATCCTCATTGAAATCCACAGCTACAGATGACCTCCAGATTACTTCAGTTACTATATAGCACTTTTCCTGGATAGGTCTATACTGTAGCTGGTTTCTTAGGAGGAATTTAAGCAACATAGACACATGCATTCATTTTAACAAATCATTTCTGTTACTTTGAGGAAATATCTTCCCATGTGCTAGTATACATGCTGCTGGCATTCCATTATATGGATATATAAAGAAAGAATGCCTGTCAGACCAGTTTAAGTCCCTATACCTGGCTAACTTTGTGAAAGTTTTGAGATCATGCTATGCTGATATCAACGGATAGAACTAAAGGCCTGGGATAAGTACTTTGTGCTATCCTGATATCACGTCCTCAAAATCCGGGGCATGAATATGAGATTTACATGTATTCATCAATTATTGGTTTCCAGTTTATATGTCCTTCCTGCTCTATGGAAGCCTGAAATTTCCCTATTCTACTCATTATAATAATAAGGCTATGCAAGGTTTTAGAGTGATCTGGAAAAATGGTTCAGAATAGGTAAAGAAAAGCAACACAATATCTATCTGTGATACATTAAAACAGCTGTCTTTTTCCAGAAGGATCCCAATGCAGCAGCATAATCCTGACAATATGAGTCACATTCACATCACTGCACTTTCCAATGCACTTTTGAAATGAATCCAACTCTTTAAACAACCCTAATCTGTTATTCTAATATTAAAGATTCACTGGGTAGGTGAAGAAAAGCTAAGAATTTGTTTCTAGAATAAGAAACACAGTCTGTTCTTGGGCTCTGGCGGGGATATCAGGAGGTAAACTATGATATCATATTTTCCCACTTCAAGATGAGTATTGTGTAGTGGGCTTCAGTAGGCAAGGAGCAGATCAGCATAGTTACAATGTTATTTGTTGACTCAAACTAGAACTGGAGAACTGCAGGCAATTGCCTATAATTTATACTCTGAGCCCACAGAGCCTTAACCAATGTCAATACTTGAAAAACCTGCCCAAATATGAATGTTCAAAATTTCCCTCCAAAACAGTTGGAGTTAACAGTCAGGGTCCTCTAAAGCAGGGCTTTTCAACCAGTGGTACGGGTACCACCTGTGGTACATTGGCATCTGGCAGGTGGTACGCGACCATCCTAGAAAAGTAGCCGGGGAGGGGAATGAGCTGAACCAGTGGCAGCATCACACAAGCCTGAGCGAAAGATGGCTGGAGCTGCAGGGCTGTCAGGGCACAGTGGAAGCGCCAGGATCAGTGGCAGGCTCCAGCTGGAGCTCAGTGCTGATCCTGGTGCTTCTGCTGAGCACAGAAGAAGTGTCAATCAGCTGGAATGTTGCAGCATCTCCATGGTCTTGTGATTTACATTCAGATGCTTGGCAACTGATTCATATTTATGACGGTCAATGTCCCAGGGTCATGTGAAGTGACCAAAACCTGCTGCAACCACCCAGCAGACGGAGGGAATAAAAACCAAACACCCCCCCACCCCACCCCTGTTGCCAGTCCTCAACAGAAATGCTCACAACAATGAAAACCTCGGACAGGAGGAAGAGCGCCACTGGGTGGGCAGGCAGGTGTCTTGCTCGGCTGTGGCTTGGGAGGCACTTTTTTCAGTGCCATTGTAACTTTGAATAGTCACTAAGCGAACTGTTGTAAGTCGAGGACCACCTGTACTTTATCACTTTTTTTCTTTTTTTTTTCAGTCATCAAGTTTTTGATACCTTGCTAGGCGACTGGTGGTACTCGGATGTTGTCATATCCTAAAAGTGGTACAATGGGTGAAAAGGTTGAAAAGCCCTGATCTAAAGGTTAGTTTCATTTTAGCTTCACAAGCAGTTGGAATTAAGTTAGTTTGACTTTAGCAGGGATTAACACAACATTATATATATTCAATACATAACACCGAGGACCCTTTATCAACATCAGTATTAAAATTCTGTTACAGGTAGTCCTTAATTTATAGCCATTTGTTTAGTGATCATTCAAAGTTACAATAGCACTGGAAAAAGTGACTTATGACTGTTTTTCACACGTACAACTGTTCCGCATCTCCATGGTCAGGTGATTAAAATTTGGA